ATTGTGTTAACAGGCTTTTTATTATTTTCACTTCTTTTTCCTGTAAAAACACAACCAATAGGTGAGAAATATTATTGACAGCGAAAGAATCAATATAAATAGCAAATATGTATTTAAATTGCTCTCTTATGACTCAATTCTTATCAATTTTAACACAGAAAAACTACACTTGCCAGAGGCACATCATCTAGCTCAAGGTACTTCTTCGACCGAGCCATGAACTCCACCAACATTCGAACTAGATCCTTGTATACCAATTTAGCCAGCCTAGAGGATCCATGCAGCCCTGCTATCACTAAATGTAGATGGACGTTTTCAGATAACCCTGAACGTGTAAAGCCGCCACTTTAAAGCGGTCCAAATATTTTTGTAAAGTTTTGCCGGGTTGCTGGCTTATTTTTCCCAACGCAAACTCTAATTTCAGCTGCTTTTTGCTAGTAGCAAAAGTCAACAAAAATCTTCCACCAAATTCCTCAAAGGATCTTATAGACCCGGCTGGTAAATGATAAAAACCACATTTGAGCTGCTCCTGTCAATGTAGTTGCAAAAAGTCGCGTGATTAAAGGCTCTTCTATCCCCTTAATGTACATGGCCGTATCAAAAGCATCCAAATGCACCTGGAGATCTTGAGTTCCATCATACTTGGGGAGTTCTGACAAGTTTAAGTTTCCTGGGAAGGGTGCATCAACAATCTCGTCCACAAAAAGACTATCGTTGTATTGCCCCCTGTTGTACTTTCTCCTGTATACCCCGGACACATCATCCGGGTTTCTAATTTGTTGCCTGTCGACATGAGGCCGGAAGTTCTCTGTTTGTCTTGTCAGATTCCTCCCTTCGCCTCGGCTACCATTATGCCGTGTTTCTTGATTCTGAGCCGGGTTAGTAACTACCCTTTGACCTCGGCTGTCGGCGTTCCTCATATGACCCAAGCTCCCTCCTCGATTATCATTGCCCTGACGAGGATTCATGATTCTCAAGTCAGTCATGACTTGTGTTATAGCTCGTACGGGATCCGGGTTCCTGGCCTGCCACAGTCATGACTCCAATTCTCGAATCTGCCTAGCATCTTCTTGTCTTTGGAGCTCATTCCTTCTCTCCAGCTCTTCCATCCTCCTAAGCATCGCAGCAACAGCTAGATCTGCCACTCGCTGGTCATTATTTGCACCATTTGGCATTTGTCCAGGATTCACAACTGTCTTTTAATCGGCTGCAACCCTTCCACATACGGGGCATGGGGGTTAACTGCTGGAGTTGATGCTGAGTCAAAATGCATATCACTGACATGAGTAGCGTTGGTATCTACCTGCTGATGGTTATTGGGCATATGCTGACTCGATGGATCCTCCCTAATTGGGGGGATTGGTTCATGTCTAGGATTCGACATCAATGGTTGCCGGTAACCGCTTCTGGTTGTCTGCACCATTTTGATCGCTGGCCTTTAACCACGTGGTCGTGGAAAAGTGTTCCCACAGACGACGCCAATGTTCTGCCTGAGTGGCAGAGATGTCTAACCAAGGGTTAGCTAATTGATGTTGGATCTGGTGCTCTCTCTAGATACCTATGGATTAGGTATCTTGGGGGTAGCGAATCACGACACACGATATAACGGCCTTAGCCAAGAGGGGGTGGTGTGTATGCTGTGTGATTGCATAAAATAGGTTAGAGAGAGATCAGCCATACATGTGGTCTTTAGCTTTTATTTATAGAGTTTACCTTTGGGCTCACGTCGTCTGGGTCTTCCGAGAATATGGGCCTTGCTCAGGTCCATAACACTAGCAATGGGTTATATTTTATTATTAAATATCAAATATCAAGCTAATTAAATGTTTGCTTATTATTTTAAAAAATTATGTTTCCAATATCAAGATTTGACTTTTTTATAAGAGTGTGTAAAAGAATAAAAAAAATGACTGAACTGTGAATTGGATTGAATTGTACTCAAAAGAACTTATTTTTATTGGTTCTTCAAAAACCAATGCAAGAACCGAATTGGTTTAGAAAACCAATTCATGAATCGAACTGTTTTTTTTTCCTTCTTCTCTTCTGTTTTTTTATTTCTCTATTTTTCTTCACTTATATATATATATATATATATATATATATATATATATATATATATATATATATATAGTGCCTTCTTTTATATTTATCTTTATTACTTTAATCTTTTTCCTTACCTATTTTACTGTCTTATTCATCTTCGTTTTTACTTTATTTTAATTTATTTTAAAAAATTTAGTATCGTTTATATTTTTATTTTTTTTCTCAATCTTTTCATTTGGGTTCAGAACTCGTTTAAAAACCAATTTAAAAAATATGCAAAATAACTAAAAGAAATGAGTTTATGAGCTAAATTGGTTTTCAAGCTAGTTCATTAACCAAATTTGTGGAACCAATGCACTCTATGTAAAGAATATAAAGGTCCAACGATTTTGATGATAACAAACAAGCATGTAAAGAAAGCTTCAAAGTGCAACAATCAAATAGAAGTTTAAAGAAGATTAAGACTCAAGCTTCAAGAGAAGACTCTAAGTCCAAGCAACCTCAAAGTAATATATCTTAGGACTTAGGACTATTTGAAAGGGAAATTGATTTCTTTCCTGAACAAAGCTCAAAGTATTTTTCAAATACATGCATTAAATCATCGTTTGATATTTAAACTCTTTCCTAGCATGAAAATTTATTTTTAAATATTCATCAAATGATTAAAAGTATTTGAAACTGATTTAAATCATGAGAAAATCATTTTGGGACGAAATCCAACCTTTTAATAGGTTGGTAATCGAAATAGGTTGGTAATCGATTACCCCCCAATGGTAACCGATTATCCTTCATGGTAATCATTACCCCAACAATGGTTATCGATTACCCTTCATGGTAATCGATTACCCACCTTATGATAATCGATTACCCACTGTGCAGAAGACAAAAATAACGGCCATAAAACAGCTAATTTGTGAAAATGGCTGATTTAACACCCATAGGGGAGCCTCTATAAATAGGAATCATTGTTCCATTGATTAGACACTTCTTCTTGATCATTTTTTTTTCATTTAAATTATATTACTTGCTTTATTCTTGTCATCTTGATAATAAATACTCTTTTGAGCTTTATTTTTGTGAGAGAGTCAACATCCATAGTTCTTCAACTTGTATAATTTGTACTTTGAGAGTATTTAACTATTGTTAAACACCTCCATTTGATTTCTTGAATAGTTAGGGGAGTGAACCCTTTACACTTGAGAGGTCACCAAATTCCTAAGAAAATTTGGAGTGAAATACTGTATGGCATCAAGAGCCTGAAGTCTTGAAAGGTTGTAGTGGTTTGTCAAGCACACTTAAGCTTGATAGCTAGTGAAAAAGTTTGATCGAACGACTTCAGTTTGGACGTAGGTCACAGAGGTGGTGACCGAACTAGGATACATCTATTTTGCAATTTCTCTAACCTTAAACTCCTTACTTTAAAAAAAAAAGTCTTGAAATTGTATTTTTAGATTGTGTTTATTTATTCGTTAGCATACTTTATTGATCATACACTTGCTCTTACACTTAGACTTTTTCTTATTAAATTATTTTCTTAAAGAATCACTCTTTAAAATTTATTGATCATGCACTTTGCGAAAAGATTTTATAAAACTCAATTCACTCCCCCTCTAGAGTAGTGAAGTCACTTGTCCAACAAAATTGAATTTTCTTCTTCTTTTCTTTTTGTTTATTTTCATTTTACCTTTATTTCTTTTTTCTCTTATATATTTTACTCTCTTATTTATCTTTATTTTTATTTTATTTTAATTTATTAAAAAAAAATTAGTATCATTTATATTTTTTTTATTTTATTTCCTTAATCTTTTCATTTGAGTTCAAAACTAGTTCAAAAACTAATTTTAGGAATGTGCAAAAGAACTAAAAGAAATGAAATGCAGTTAAAAAAATTAATTTGTAAAAAACATTTCTTAAACTGAATTGTTTTTAAAAATCAGTTTATGAACTAAATTGATTTTTAAACCAATTCTTAAACCGAACTGATTTTTTTTTATCTTCTTTTGTTTTCATTTAATTTTCATTTTGCCTCTTTTTTCTCTTTTCTTTTTTTATTTATTGTCTTCTTTTTTCTTTACTTTTATTTCTTAATTATTTAACTTTTTTATTCTTTTTTCTCTTGTGTATTTTTCTTTCTTATTTGTCTTTATTTTTACTTTATTTTTTAATTTTAATTATTTATTGCTTTCTTTAATTTCTAGTATCATTTATATATTTTTTATTTTTTATCTTTTTTTCCCTAAATATTTTCCTACTCTTCATTCGAAGTCAGAATTGATTTTAAAAATTAATTCTAAATTAATTCAAAACCAGTTCAAAACTATTTCTGAATTGAACTGGACTAGTTATGAGCCAATTCTGAACTGAATTTGTTCGAAAAAGTCAACAAATTCAATTCAATTCGACAAAAAAAAACCCGAACTGAACTGAATCATGCACACTTCCATATTTTTGTTTAATATGAGTTCAAGCGAAAAAAACAACTCAACTCCATGTTGGTAATTTGCCCAAAGAATTTTTTTTCTTCAGGTTTTAAAATAAGTGGAGCTTCCACATGCTTGGCAAAAAGCTAAGTTACAACTCAAGCATATGTATAAATGCCGGAGTGCTCCATAGCAAAGTAAATATTATGAGAATTGTTAAAAGAATATATAAATTTTTATTTTATTAAAAAAATCACGACCTAAATAAACACAAGTCAGACTTAACTGTTAATAACTTCTTTTTTCTTGCAAATGAACTTACGGTTAATTAGCATTTTGTCAAGTCTTAACACTTTGAAGTGACAATGATGTTGGAAGTTCCATCCTTTATCAAAGTTATTTTATACACATGCTTGAACTTCTCAATTCTCATATATCAAAATCGACAAAGTTTTTTTTTTTTTTTTTTGGTGATTTTTTATGCGATGCGATGTGCACAAGTACTCCAATATTTGCATGTGCATGCTCAAAGGGGTTCAAATTCAGACAAAAAATTGGAATGGAATACATACATGCATACGACAACAAGACTATCCACATTGAAGCAGAGAAAAAAGGAGCAACATAATCATGAAGAAAGTAGTGAGGTCCCAATATCCTGAACTAAAGGTGCAATGCCTGCAAGATAAGCATTAACGACTACATTACTCTCACACATCTCTTACAGCCTTATCAACGAGATATGATTGGGTTTGTGCTATAAAAGAAACTAGGGAATTTGTTTGTGATTTCAGCTTCACACAAAGTAAACTTTCTTCCTGCAAGAGGACACTTGATCAAACATGCTCTGCAACTTTGTCAATTCTCTACGCCTTATTCACACGAATTTTTTGCGCTTCTAACAACTGCAGTCAACAAGTCATCAAATGAGTACCAAATCACTGTCAGCATAGCATTTAGAAGCAAAGTAATCTGTAACAGACTAATCAGTAATCCTAATTCAGAATAGATTCAAGAAAACAGAGACAATTTGTATATATTCTCCAAACAACAACACAATTACAAATATTCACTGAAACAGTATTTTCTCCCAATCACTTCCTAATTACAGAAAACAGAAGAATACAACAGTAAGGAAAGAATTAAAGATAGGTGTTGGAGAGCCCCTGATCTCTCCCAAAAGAACCAAGTTCCCAATTGCCCAAAGATCTCATGTTCAGCTCCTTCATTCCATTTTTATTCACATGCTGCTCAAACCGTTTGCTGAGTCAGCACTAGCTGATAAGTTTTTACACTTTTATCATTGGATGCATCTCCTAAAAGGCTGATAGGGTGTAATTCCCAGCAACGCTGTCTATGGTAAGTCCTTATTTTGGGAGGGGTTGTATCAATACTTCCCCCCCACCCACCCAAAAATACTAACCTTGTCCCTAAGGTTAAACTAAGGGAACTGGCAGTTCAGCATGTAAGAGTCCTCCCAAGAGTCTTCAAAAGAGGGGAGGTCCTTCCAACAAATCAAAACTTCAATGGCACCACCTGCTGTCCTCCGCCACTGTAGTACCTCCAGTAGCTCAAATTCCTCAGTCAGAACATATGGTAGAGGTTGAATCCTGGCCAATTCCACATTGGAAAGGGCTTTTTTCAGTAAAGACACATGGAAAACCAGATGTATAAGACAAGTAGGGGGTAATTCAAGCCTATAGGCAGCTGTACCCACTATGGCAAGTACCCTATAAGGTCCATAAAAATGGGGGATGAGTTTTTCGTTAACACGCTGAGCCAAAAATTTAAGTCTATATGGTTGGAGTTTGAGATAAACCATATCATTGACATCCAATTGGACATCCCTCCGATGCTTATCCGCTTGGACTTTCATGCGGTTTTGGGCCTTTGTCAGTTGTTGCTATAATTCCCCCAAAATGACATCTCTTTCATGTAATAGTAGATCCACTTCAGCCACATGGACATAGTGTCCCACTCAGAACAGAGATGGGGGATCAGAGTTGTACAGTGCCTTAAAAAGGGAAACGCCCGTTGAAGATTTGTACGTGGTATTATACCAGTATTCAGCCCAATGGAGCCATTTAGGCCACTGCTTTGGCTGAGGGCTGCAAAAACACCTGAGATAGGTTTCTAAACATTTGTTAACAATTTCCGTCCGGCCATTCGATTGCGGGTGGTAAGCAGTGCTATATTTTAATGAGGTACCAGCCTGTTTAAACAATTCGGACCAGAAAGTGCTAAGGAAGACACGATCTCTATCCGACACTATGGTGAGGGGGAAGCCATGCAGTTTGACTATATTCTGAATAAAAATCAGAGCCACATCCTGAGCACTATAAGGATGACAAAGCAGGATGAAATGGGCATATTTGGTCAGTCGGTCAACCACCACTAATACGGTATCAACCCCAAAAGCCTTAGGCAATCCACACACAAAATCAAGAGATATATCGGACCATACCTGAGTTGGAACGGGAAGAGGTTGCAAGAGACCAGCAGGGGTCAAATTAGAAGCCTTACTTTGCTGACAAACTGCGCAACATGCCACACGTCGTTGTATGTCTATCTTCATTCCCTCCCAATAAACCAGATTGGAAATGCGTTTAAAAGTCCTAAAGAAACCAGAGTGGCCCCCAGTTGGGGTATCGTTTCCTTGAGTAGGACAGCAATGAATTTGTAGTTCCTTGGGAGCACTAATTTGTCATTATAAGTCAACTTCCACCTAAAATCTAAAATCCTGGATGCCGGGATGGATCTTTGATTAAATCCAATAATATAATTTGCCTCAGTTTAGAATCTGCCCCCTGTTCCTGTTCAATTTGTTCCACCATAGGCAGCCCAACTACTGATAAGGAATTAAATAGCCCCCTACGCGAAAGGGCATCAGCCACCACATATTCCTTCCCCGGGTGATATTGGACCTCGAAGTCAAAGCCAAGAAGCTTGGAAGTTCATTTTGGTTGGTCCTCTCCCAACACACGCTGATCCATAAGAAACTTAAGGTTTTTCTGATCTGTTTTGATCACGAAATGCCTTCCCAAAAGATAATGGCGCCACTTTTGTACTACAAAGACTAGAGCCATTAGTTCCCTTTCATAGACTGACTTCGACTGCGCCCTTGGGGAAAACCCCTGGCTAATGAACGCTAAAGGCCCTTCTTGCATGAGTGCAGCCCCAATTCCCTTTCCGGACGCATCTGTCACTATAGTAAACGGTTTAGTAAAATCAGGCAAGGCCAGAGTGGGCAACTCACACAAGATTAATTTCAATTGGTCAAAGGCAACTTGCGCAACTTCACTCCAACAGAAAGCGTCCTTTTTCAGTAGGTCCGTCAAAGGCTTCGCCAATATACCATACCCCTTAACGAATTTTCTATAATATCCGGTCAAGCCGAGGAATCCTCGTAACCCCTTAATATTCATAGGAATAGGCCAGTCTTGCATAGCCATGGTTTTAGTAGGATCAGCTGCCACCCTTCTTGAGCTGATAATGTGGCCTAAGTATTCAACTTGTGGCTGCTCAACGGTACATTTTTTTTTATTTGCATACACCTACTGCCTTCGCAACTCTTCCAAAACTGTCCTCAGATGCTGAATATGAATCTCCTTCGATTGACTATATATTAAAATGTCATCGAAGAACACCAAGGAAAACTTGCGAAGAAAAGGTTTGAGAACTTCGTTCATTATGGATTGGAAGGTAGATGGGGCATTAGTTAACCCGAAGGGCATTATGAGATATTCATAATGGCCCTCATGGGTCCTGAAAGCAGTTTTTTCTATTCTTCTCTCATCCGAATCTGGTTGAACCCTGACTTCAAATCCAACTTAGAAAATAAGCAAGCAGCACCAATCTCATCTATCAATTCATCGATAATAGGCATTAAAAAATTGTCAGGCACAATCATTGTGTTCAGCTTCCTATAATCGACGCATACTCGCTAGGCTGGAATAATGACTAACGCTAGGCCTAATCATACCATTGTGCAACAATTCATCAACATTTTTTTTCAATTTCACCTTTTTGATAGAATGGGTACCAGTAAGGTCGAATATTGGGTATCTCATTCCCTGGTTTCAGAATGATAGCATGGTCTCTGTTGCGTTTTGGAGGAAGACCCAAGGGGATAGCAAAAACGTCCTCATACTCACCCAGCAACAGTTCGAGCCCCTCCCATATTTTCTGAGTCTCCGGAATAGAGAAGGACCCCAATTTGGGTGCAAGAGAAATCTCTGTTCATCATTCTTAATGGCTTTTATTGCCGTCTTTAGAGAAGCCTCCACAAGAGAGAGCAATGGTTCTGCTCGAACTAACACCTTCTGTCCGTTTTGTTTGAAAATGAGAGTAAGCTCACGAAAATTTTCCTTAACTGTGCCCAACTCTTGTAGCCAATCCACGCCTAGCACCACATCTGCCCCTCCCAGTGCGAACAGAAACAGATCTTGAACCACTTCAAGGCCTTGAAACTTTAACTTCACTTCTCCACACACCCCGCTACAACTCACGCGATCTCCATTTCCGATTTCAACCTTGTACCCCGGCGTGACCTCAGCCGTCAAACGGAGCTCTCTTACCGTCTCTTCCTTGATGAAGTTGTGCGTAGCCCCACTATCGATTAGAATCACCACCCGATTACCTCCAATCACTCCCCAAAGACGCATGGATTTACTTGATGTCAGCCCTAGCAAACTGTGGGACGACAAATGAAGCGTTACCTCATTCGTTCCGCTACCATCCGCTTCATCCTCAGTGACATGCACATTGTCTTCGTCATCGTCTTCAACCACCACAAGAAGATTCAGTTGCCTTGTCTTGCAGCGATGGCCTGGATCCCATCGTTCTGCACAATGGAAACACAACCCCTTACGGGATTGTTCTTGTAACTCTACTTGCGACAATCATCTATTACCGGATTGATTAGTGTTGCTCGCCTAACTCTCAACATTTCACTGAGGTTGATTAAACGAGATAAGATTCGCCTGAGAATTGGGGATTTTTGGATTAGGGTTCGACATGTTTGAGTTGGTTTGGGGTCCAGATTGTGAAAGACTACGTGTGGAACCCGCATTATGACTCGCTGACCCGAAATTAAAACGACCCGTATTAGAACGGGTTGAAGTTGTCTGACCCATTTTCAGAAGCCTAAACGTACGCCCTGGCCCAAGCCTTCAGCCATCCAAGCCCAGTTCCGTCTCTCAATTCGTTGCACCTTTTTCATCATCAATGGTAGGCTATCTAAAGGTTGTAACAGAAGTTCTTCCCTAACGCATCTCGATAATCCGTTCAACCATATCCCACGGAGGACTTCATCATCGACGAGATCCAAACACCCACTAATTTTCTCGTAATCTCTTATGTACTCCTGAACGCTCCCTACTTGGCGTAGACTCAGCAACTAATGGAGCGGGTTGCCTTCCAAGTCCGGTTGGAAGCGGCTCAACACCTCAGCCCGTAATAGTCCCCATGAAGCATTGGTTGTGCTTCTCTCCCACCATTGGTACCAATGAAGAGCTTCCTTTTCCATAACGATCATTACCACTCTCATTTTCTCCATATCTGTTAATGGATTCACTTCGAAATATCTATCCACCCACGTTAACCAATTGTAAGCCCCCCCACCGGAAAAAGACGGCAGTTCCAGTCTTCTCCTTATAGTTTCACCATAGGTTTCCCTCCCAATTGCCCCGTCGGAATGGACACTGGAGTTTGTGCTCCCTCGCTCGTCGCGTCCGCGATGCAAATGACTTCTGGATCGTTGATCCTCTCCATCTGCCCTCAACTCTTGCATCCCTCTTAATACCTCTACTAAGCTAGCTTCCACTTGCTGTATACCTTCCTCCGTTCTACCAATTCTCATCTCCATTGTTTCCATACGGTGATCCGTAGTTCTCGTCACAACCATTCAATGCTCACAGGAAAGAGAGCTTTGATACCAATTGTACCAGACTAATCAGTAATCCTAATACAGAGTAAATTCAAGAAAACAGAGACAATTGTATATATTCTCCAAACAACAACACAATTACAAATATTCACTGAAACAGTATTTTCTCCCAATCACTTCCTAATTACAGAAAACAGAAGAATACAAAAGTAAGGAAAGAATTAAAGATAGTTTCAGAGGTGTTGGAGAGCCCCTGATCTCTCCCAAAAGATCCAAGTTCCCAATTGCCCAAAGATCTCACGTTCAGCTCCTTCATTCCATTTTTATTCATATGCTACTCTAACCGTTTGCTGAGTCGGCACTAGCTGATAAGTTTGTTACGCTTTTATCATTGGATGCATCTCCTAAAAGGCTGATAGGGTGTAATTCCCTGCAACGCTGTCTATGGTAAGTCTTTATTTTGGGAGGGGTTGTATCATAGTCACTCATTAAAGCTCCCATTATTTACAATCTACAAATTCAATCCCATCAAACAACTTAGATCGAAGCATGATAGGATTTTAAAGTCATATTTGTTGAGTCCCACACATTGTCTCTTGTACTTTGAATTGAGCTTAACTCGTTATAGTGAGTTATTCTCCCAAATTGGAGAGAGGTATACAAGTTGGGGACGGGAATTTTTGTCATCCTATTGAAGTTTTTCCCACATAATTGCAGTGTTATCTTGTTGCTCTTTTCTTTATTGGAAAAGTGTTTCTACTTCAATTGAAGATAAACTTACCTCGAGCAATCCCAAAACGACGTCGTTTTGGAGTTTAGGGATAAAATGCAGAGTATTTTGGAAATTTTACTTTCTTCTTATATCATAAATTTTACTAAAATACCTAGAATTCTTTTCCCAAATCCCAAACAACTTCGCTTTGGAGTTTGCAAGAGATAATTTTATCTCTTATTGCAGGAGAAACGTTAATCCCTTTATTTATTTGTCAAAATTGTAATCAAAATATTTTGCTTTTATTTAAATCAAACATTTAATATAACTGAATTCACGCCCCCTCTTGAGTTCACCTGGACCAACAATGCCAACAGCTTTGAAGACAAGAAACTTGTATCACATGACAAACATCTAGATAAATCTTGGAAAGCTGAGAGGAAAAATACGGCATTCAAAGTCAAAATATGCATAAGCAAGCATGAAGAGAGAGAGAGAGAGAGAGATGTGTCCAGCTGGCAGCTACTACATCATTTGGTCCATAAATGTGCACTTCTATGTGACCAGCTATTAGAATGTGTGTGATATTACTATATCCATAACATATTGCTGACCAAAAACCCTAGCAAGTATATAAAAACTGCACCAATATTATCATTATCTATAACTATAAGCAAGATTAGGAGAAGGGACTTATCCTCAACATGTTATTTAAGGTGCCATGTACTTAATATTTGGATGTCTGAGCTAGCAAATAAACAAGAAGAGCAGTAAATAACTTACAGAATTGTTGAAAGATGATATTGCAGCTTCTACATCCTCAGCTGATGAAAAAGTAACAAAACCAAACCCACTGGATTTTGAGGTCCCAGGGACCCGGGAAACCTTAGCACTAAGAACTTTTCCCTTCTCAGAAAAAAAGCTTTTAAGAGTATCAGTTGTTACTGTCTTGGCTAGATTTCCCACATATACCTTGTGGGGACTGTCAATATTTTCTGATTCCTCAACCTGGAGTAATGGTAAATCTACTGTGGTCAAAGGTTTTTCAGTTATGTTTACTTTAACCTCACGCCCTCCAATTTCCTGTCATAAGAACTCACAAATCCTTTAAGAAATCTAAATTGTTGAATGAACATTAGCAATCTTTCTATGAGTTTTTACAAATTCTGCAACGAAACTTACAGTGCCATTAAGTTTCTCAATTACTGCATTTGCATCCTCAACAGTTTTCATCGTAACAAATGCAAAGCGACGGCTCCTTCCAGAGTATTTATCATACATAACCTATGAATAATTTTAACGAAAAAGTTAATAGTACACTTGACCAATCATACATTATACAGTACACAGACAAACGATTCCATGTATAATGATAAACCATAAAGTCAAGTTGACAAATACTTTTGAAGGATATAAACAATGGACTTCTGAACATACTATTCAGTGTGTTTTCAAATCCCCAGCTTCATTGCAAGTCCTTCATTCCATTGTTCAGTTCATGTTATCAATACAAATCTATAATCATTCCATTAAGCAGTATAGCATCATAAAATTGATTGAGATTTCAATTTTTTTCTAGGTCAGTTACTAATACCACTTACTATACCTCTTTTTTCCTTTAAGCTACTCTTCAAAAATTAACAAGGTCCTAACTCATGATTATACACATTAATGCGCTCGCATAATCAAAATTCTGCTATCTTGATATCAATGTGACAATTACCAATGAGAGAAATCAGGACGTGTGCAATGTTTGTTGCAATTAGATTTCTAGAAGTAAACTTAAAACAGCCAAGCTTCCTATACTTTTGTTATGGACCGGCCAGTTGGCCTTGCCCAGCTAGCTCAAATGGCTGCCCAGCAAGGCGCCAAACACTTAGCACCTACGAGCATTTGACTCCTCCGTACATGTGTCCCCTCATATTTCCCACACTCACATGACCACCATATTGGGGACACTGGGGTGAAACGGTCAAGGATCACACTTCCTATGTTGAAAGGGAATTGTCTTTCTCTTATAAATAAAGGACAACTCCTCCTTATGTGGGATCATCTTCTCCATCACTCGCCTCCTCAGTCATAACCATGCCCTTCACATCTTCCCCTTGATCCTCAACTAGCCTCATACTCGTATGGTGACTCCACGGAGCCTTAGTCTATGCCATCGCCTCCTCAATCATCATCAGATCAATATATTTCACCCGCTTGGGATACAGAGCATTGTTTCTATCTTGCAACTACTTCAACTTTCTACGACAGCAAGGTTGTCCACAAAAGTAGTAGCATAATACATACAGCTTATGTACACCTCAATGTCAAATGTATCTACTTAAAACCCACCCAATTTTAAGTTTATTTTAAATAAGCAAACACCCCCAACTTCCTCAACTTAAAAAATAAAAAAAGGTTCCCATCAGCAAAATTGGGATTAATTTTTAGTACTTGTGTGGTACATACTCCATCCGGCTAACTGCATTTCATCCACTCAATTCTTCATTTTTAATGCCCCATGAGTCAATGTGCTTCTAATTCTAATCTACTAAATTTACTCTGAAATTGGATATAGAATGAGAAACATCAGAACTTTGACAAGAATTAACGGGTAAAACACACCCATCCCCACCCCAAAAAGGAGATTAAAACACCCCCTTTTCAAATTCACTTAAATAGTAAGAAAACACCCCAAATGTACTTCCTCAATAAAATTATATAAATAATACTAATAATAATAAGTTGTCAGCAGAAAATTTGGATACAAGGATGGAGAAAAAAATAATCAGAACTTTAATAAGGAATGAATAGGTAAAATACCTGTGCTTTCTCAACGGCACCATGCTCTTCAAGAATCTTTGCAAGCTCATCGTTGGTGACAGTGCGAGGAATGTTGCCAACGTAGAGCCTCCTTGCAGCCTCGGAGTTGGGGTCACGCGTGGTGACCGCAACTTCTTCAGCCACAACGGCAAAGGGTCTCCGAAAACGGTGTGTGAGAGTTCCAACAGCTAGGGAAGGCACCAACTTGAGAAGGGGCTGTCTCAAGTTCAAGATGATGTGAGTTGAGGAACTTGATGTTGGTGGGGTTGTGAGGGAAACGAAATTGGGTGGTGAGAGCAGAGAAGCCATTATTGTTGTTGTTGTGCGTGATACGAAGGAGTGACGAGGATACACAACAAGAAGGAATGGAGGTTTTGTGTTTGTAGCATCAGAGTTTTATCCTGTTATCTTGTTGATGTTGGAAATCATTTTGGATACAAGTCTTTAGTTGGGTCGGGTTGACATTCGAATACTCAAATAGTAAATTTAAGACAAAAATCAAATAATAAGTATAGGAAAAAAAATCAAAACTAAAAGATGAAAAATAAAACAATTTCTTATGAAGGAAAGTAGCATGTACTGTTCTAAAATTCGGCCCGACCCGACCAAGTCAACTTGGAATCTGGTGTATCGGTCATCGGATCTGTTCGGATCAAGCATTGGACCGGTCATACATCGACCTGGTCAAACTCGATCAAAACTCGGACAAAACCGGCCAAACCCGGTCAAAATCGATGACCCGTGACCTGGTTGGGTCATGCATTAAAAAAAATCGAAAAAACCAAACCTGTTTCATCTTATCAGAAAAAAAGTGCAGAACTCATTTTAAAAACTTTTTGTAATTTTATTTGCTAATATATTCTTCTACAATGACCTCAAATTTCAGTTTCCAATACTAAGCAATTTGCGAAATAATAAAGTAAGAAAATGTGACATATGTCATTTTAATGTAGTTGAATTTGAAAAATATGAGTTCAATGTCATTAAGAGATATGTTTATGGGGATTCTGAATTGCAATTTAAATTGACATAGTAATAATGCGTATTTTTATTTATTTATGTTTTATATTTTTGAGCTTATTTAGTGAACCTTGTTTAATTCATTTTATATATGGAGAATATAATTGAATTTATATGTTCATTTTTATATATATTTATATATATCCGGGTCAACCGGTCCGACCAGTGACCCAGTACCCTGATCGAGTCGATGTCCCAGTCGGGTTTAACAACACTGATCGACCAAACTGCCTTTTCTGTCTCTCTTTTTTTTTATTAATTTTCGTTGAGAAGATTTTTTTTTTTTCAAGTATCGCAAATCAAATTTCTTTTCAATAATAAATTAAAAAGTATCATTTTAAATTTAAAAAAGTTAATCATAGGAAAAAAATTTAAACAAAATCAAATTAAAGGACGAAAATAAAAAATTTCTTATAATGGGTTTTTGAGGCACTTCCACTTACATCGCCCGAAAATCGTTGGTAATAAATTATAATATTTTCGAAAAGCTACATTTTTTTAAAATAAACTTCTAGTTCTATACACAAAAATTCTTAAGTTAAAATTACTTTAAAGTCTTTTTTAAACTCTATAAGTTTATCTCGTAACTCTGTTGCATGGTAAATAATTTTGAATATAAGTCTTCATTGAAACTCGTTTAAATGTTAATTTGATTCATGAATATATAATGGGTTTAATGTTTCTCGTATTATAGGAGATAAATTTATCTCATATGCATATATTAAAGTGTGTGGGGTCATGTGAAGAGAAAAGAGAGAAAGAAAAAATATGGATCACACATACTTTTATTATTATGTGTACGTATAAGATAAATTTATCTCCTATAACATAAGAAATAATAAACCCATATATAAAATATGATTTTAGAGGGTGGAAAATTAATATATTATTATTTTAATAAAAATTACGAAAACATAGCTGTTTTGAACCAATTACGGATCTATAGCACTTAGTCACGCTCCACATAGGCGCAACATGTCGGACCTCACACATGTGCAACCTATGCAAATAACGCCCCACACAAGCGCGACTCGTCCGGTGATGACACGTGGCACAAAAAAGTCAACAGTTTGACGGTAAAACTTCAAAAAGCCATAACTTTCGACTCGGGTGCCCGAATTAGGTGACTTTTTTTATTCCTCATCAATTTTCAAAATCTATACAATGACATCTCATTAAAGTAGATTTGGTGTTCAAATTTGAGATATTTTATCGTAAAACTTCGAAAGGCCATAACTTTTGACTCAGGTGTCTGAATCAGGTGCTCTTTTTTTTTTTATTCCATATAACTTTTCGAGAGCTACGTGTGGCAAATCAAAAAGGGGATTTGGTTAAAAAAAATTCACAAAAATTTTTCCAGCGCGTAGATCTCAAAAAGTTACGTGGAATAAAAAAAATCACCATATTCGGACTCCCAAGCCAAAAGTTATGGTTTTTTTAAGTTTTATGGTAAGCCCGAGCTCATGTAATACCTTATCCTTCAATTTACATGGACTATTACTCTGGTGTCCAATTTTTTTTGACCAAATATCCTTCAATGAGATGTCATTCCGTAGATCTCGAAAAGCTATGTGGAATAAAAAGAATACCTTATTCAAACACCCAAGTCGAAAGTTATGGCCTTCCGAAATTTTACGGTCAAACTATTGACTTTTTTGTGTGCGTGTCGTCACCGAACGAGTTGCGCCTGTGTGGGGCGCGACTTTGCTAGGTTGCGCCAATGAGAGACGCAACTAGTTGCGCCTACCAGGGGCGCGATTGAGTGCATTAGATCCGTAAATTGGTTCAAAATAGCTATGCTTTTGGAAGTTTTAATTAAAATAATAATATATTAATTTTTTTGCCTGATTTTAGTTCATCTTAATTTGACTACATTTTCATCAATTAAAATATTTGATATTTTTTTCTAACATGATCATACTCAAAATAATTGAGTATTTTTTTTTTTAAATACACAATGACGTAGGTCGTAACGCCTGGCAACTTGCAAGGATCAACAACTGTCCCCACACACTAACACGAGACTTTTCAGCGTTCTTTGTCCTCACTCGCACGCTTCCCGGGAAAACTTCCCAGGAGGTCACCCATCTCAGAATTGCCCCAAGTCAAGCATGCTTAACTATGGAGTTCTTCCGTTCCGGGCTATCGAAAAATAGATGCATCTTGTTAGTATAGGTAGTAGCAATTAATTCTTATAAGCTATTCCCAGCTGTATCGTCCCATACCAGCGCAGTCTCTGGAATTCCTCTCTTACGAGTGTTGATTCGATCCATTCATGTACCCCCGTCGCTGGAAGCCTACCAGGAACCGCTCCTTGTCCATGCCCTTTCGAACCGGCGATCACTCCCTGCCCTCGTCAGCGCCCGAGATGTTACATGCTCACCAGCTTCTGCCTGGTTCGTCCTCGAACCACACCGTACTGGAAGAGAGGCCCTGCTCTGATACCACTTGTAACGCCTGACAACTTGCAAGGATCAACGACTGTCCCCACACACTAACATGATACTTTTCAGCGTGCTTTGTCCTCACTCGCACACTTCCCGGGAAAACTTCCCAAGAGGTCACCCATCCCAGAATTGCCCCAAGTCAAGCACGGTTAACTATGGAGTTCTTCCATTCCGGGCTATCGAAAAGTAGATGCATCTTGTTAGTATAGGTAGTACCAATTAATTCTTATAAGTTATTCCCAACTGTACCGTCCCATACCAGCGCAGTCTCTGGAATCCCTATCTTTCGGGTGTTGATTCGATTCATTCATGTACCCTCGTCGCATGATGCCTGCCAGGAGCCGCTCCTTGTCCATGCCCTTTCGCACCGGCGATCACTCCTTGCCCTTGTCAGCGCCCGGGATGTTACAAAAGGCCTCTAAACAGCCCCACCATCATCCATTACTCAATAGCACATCAAATCTTTCGATCGACTATGAAACTCAATGAAAAGTTTGAAGACTTACCACAAATCAACTCCAAGGACTCCAAGGATGAAGTTTCAAGCATCAATGCAAGCAATGTGAGCTTCCAAACTCATGAACAACATCTAGGTCGAAATCTTCATAGGGATCTAGCTCCTCACACAATAATCTTCCACAAGTTTACTCAACATGGAAGTTGACCATAATCACAAGGTAAACAACTTTCATGATCAAAGTTTCCTCTCTAAGTGTCTACAAATCAAATTAAATTTTCAAGCTTTTCCCACCTCCAAAAATTGTGTCACGGTTTCATCCAAAGAGAAGAAGGAGAAGGCGTGGGAGAGGGGAAAGAAAGGGGGCTCCGATGTGTTTAAGTCACTTGAATTGCCACAGAGGCTAGAACAAGACGAACATTGCGTGGTATTGGCATTGATCATTCCAGCTTCGTCGTATTTTGATTCCCTATGCTTCCCTACTTCACTAAATCCCTTACTTTATCCCGTTTTAAATGTTATATTATGTTGTTGATATGCATCGAAGTGAGCCATTGGGCGAAGTATTCTCCAGAACCTCTGGGTTACTAAGATATATCTGTATATCTCACCCCGCTTTGGGGACTTTATTTCAGGTAGTGCCAGTGGAGTTGGAGCGGCGGGCAAGAGGCCTGTAGGTTGAGTTTGGACATAGAGCCATTTTGCATTTTGTGGCCATTGAGCCTAGGCTAGACTTAGGGCATGAATATTGTATGTAGAATTAGGCTTATGCATTGTATCATCGTTGTTCATGCCATATTTTGTCTAAGTTTAGCTTATGTTTATCACATTTTATTTGAAGGAATTATGTTGTATATTGAAGTTGTTTCATTAAGGTTATTGTAATATTTTAAAGAAGCATTGTAATTTGCATTATTGGAGACTTGATGTAATATTGAAGCATGCTGTAACATCCCGTGTATACTCGGAATATTAACATTACATCGTATTAAGCGGTGCTTAATTAAAAATGCGGAATATTCTTTTTCTTTTCAATTATGACGTCATTATCAATTACCAACTTGATTACTTAAACAATTTCATAAAATAACGCCTGTATGTAAATTGCAATAAGACATCTACTGAAATACCTCAATATATAAATAAAGTGTGTATCTAAATCACGGTATAAAGTGTGTATCCGTAATCACGGTATTACAACTCCAAAAGACTCAAGACATAATCAAGACATAACAATACTATGTGTCATGGACAATCCCCATGCTCACCAAATAAACATAGTAAACAACCAGTCTCAACATAAAACTCCATAAACATAACTGAAGCTATAAGCATATAAGCAGCATACATAACCAGCATCCAATCAAGGCAGCATAATATAACAGCAATCTAACTCAGCTCCGGCCTCCTGCCGCCTGAGGTCTCAACATTACCTGACCCTGAAATAAGCATTCCCCAGACGTGGGGTGAGATCTCTAAACAAGAAATCTCAGTAAGACAAGGGGTCCTCAAGGATCTTCCACCCCAAGCTCACTTACATGTGCAATATAAGTTCTAAAAGCATTTATATCATTATCAGTTCCAAAACAATGTAGTGCAACAGATATCTATGGCATGTGTGTAATCACTATTTACTGGCTAGAGAAATGTAGGAATATGTCTATTCCCTACATGTAGTACAAGGAACACCGCTTCCACCTCACCCACAGCCTCACCCTCTTGTATGTTCTACATACTCAGGCTTACCGTATAGGTGGAACACCTCCATGCATATCAACAAGGCACTAACATACAATAGCTCAACAGCATTTCCAAAATATCAAAAGCATGAAACACAGCATGCATATATCATATCCCCAAGGGACATGGTGGAACCACAACATGGCTAAACCGAGGACACGAAAGCTTACCTCTAAGCTAGCTATCCAATGCCACAAGCTCAAAGTCCAATCACAGCAGATCACAATCTGATATGGACCAAATATAAATCAATAAACATGTACCACATGCATACAAATTAAAGACAACGCCTTCTCATTACGTTTTATATCTTAAAGCTTCTAACAAAGCCACAAGCCCTTAATCACATGATTCTGACTTAGTCCATTAATTACAGAAGTTCAACTTCATTAATCTAGGGTCTACAAACCCTCAATAGCCTACTGTACACACAACACAACTACTGTTCTGCGAAATCCCAGAATATCCGGATATTCCTCGGGACCATATCCGCATATGCAATATCCGGATATCTCACTGTCCATATATATACAAATTCACATATCCGGATATCCAATATCCAAATATCCCAAAACCCCATATCCGGATATCACATATCCAGATATCCTATATCCGGATATTCCACGGGCAGATATCCGGATATTTCACGACAGAATGCAGTTTCTACATTTCGTGAAGATATCCTTCAAGGTTGGGTTTTTACCGATTTTAAACACTTAAACATGCATTTCTAGGTGTGTTAAGCCTTACCCAACAACAAGTTATCATCTTTTAACCTTAACGTGCATCAAGCTTCCCTTTTTAAGCATAAAACTCAAGATCAAAGGGTGGTACAACATACCAAGACTCAAAAATCAGAATGGAGATGCTCTTGGAGCTCAACACAGCCCCTCAAGTCTGACTCAAGGATAATGCACGAAAATGTATCTCAAGATGACTCTTTTCTTCACAAAGATTGCTCCTTGGAGCAATGACAAGGCAAGAACAAAGCCCCTCAACACTTCAGTCAACAAGACAGCCCTCAAGGTACTCCAAGACAGCCTCCAAACTCAGAAAATAGCTGGTCACAACCCTCACAAAGCTCACCCTCACCCCAACCAAGTGTTTGCAAGCTCAAAGATGGAAGAAATCAAGTAAAGGTGACACCTTGGTCAAGGAAATGGAGAAGAAACCAAGAGGCACTATTCTGGTCAGCCACTCCTTCTCCAGCCACGCACAAGGTAGTTATCTAGGGTTGTGTTCCCCTTAAAAGCCATATATATAGACACTTACTCATTAAACACGCAGTATTAGCTTTAATTTCTACGCTTAGCATTTTAATCCCAAACTTTAGATTCTGAAACTACACATTTTTCCAAGAATTATCATATTTTTATTATATTTTTCTGAGCACCTTTCTGGTATGCGCTTTTCAGAGCCAGTACCGGTTTCTAGCACCATTTCTCATTATTTGGACTTGAAACTCGTTTTACAAGTCCTACATATTATTCTAGTAATTATCATGCACTTACATTAATTTTCCGGGATACTTTTTCGGTACGCATTTATACCGACTAGCAGAACCAGTATTTGCACTTTTCTTCCGAAAAACGACTTTCAGCATTCTTAATCACTTACCATAATTATTAAAGCCTCTTAATAATTATTAAGGTCAATTATGGAATCATTTCCTAATTTTGCATAATTAATTAATTAAATACCTTAATTAACGGTGCGGGTTCTTACACATGCTATATGATGAAAGGGCAATAGGCCTATTCTAGGAATGATTTATGTTTTATGTTTCAAGAATGCATACAAATGGATATTGTGATTGAAATTAGTTAACTTTGAAAAAGTAAGCAATGATTATGTAAGTTGATCAAATGGAATATAAACTGTGAAGGGTTGTAAGAGCACCAAGGCAATGCTGGTCCTTGAGTGCCACTCATGTTTATTAGGTACATTTGAGGTTAGATAACACACCTTTAAAGGTGGGATTTATTGAAAAAAATAAAGGAGACTCTGACGAATTTTCTAAGAAGTGACAGAATTTAGGTGAATTTGGGAGAGCATACCTCCCTCCACAAAAGTCTGATAGGGACGTGCCATACACCATTTTAAGGCTTGAGATATCAACTACCTTGTGTCAAAATTTGAAAGCCAAAGGAGAACCACGCTTCCCTGTAGAAACCTGTGAACACGGACGGTCCAGAATGCACCTGTGCAGGGGTTGTTCTGGCAGTTTTTAGGAATTTTATTCCCGCTTCTTCTCTTGGTCAAATTAGGTGTATGATATGTCCAATTGAAGTTTAAGGTGTCTAGTTTACTGTATAAAAATTTGAGAGCAATTGGTTGAGTGGATTTTCCATAATCATTGATGGAGTGAGGGCTGTTTGGAGCCTGTTTGATGTTGGCTGGCAGATTTGCTTGTCCAACTTCAAAAGGTGACATCCGGAGAAAACGAGAACTTTATGACTCGTGTGATAGCTTTTTAGAAAGTTAATTAAGTCTAGAATAACATACTAAAAGATGAAAGGTTCACGGCATGTGGTTTGTCCGCAGTAATTTAAATACTGAACCATGTTCGGGTAGGTAGAAAACGTAAAAGTGAGATTTTAGCTAAGTGGGTTTATGGAAACTCCTTAGTGACTTGAGAGAGATGTTTTATGATATTTAGACAGTTTAAATAATTATTCCGCAAAGATTTTACAGTTGCGATCACAGCTTTATTTATTACGCTTTATTATTTTTTTAAATGCTCGCGTAATAAAAAAGAAAAAGTTCACTCGCGCATTTTTATAAATGAATTGTTGTGATTGTAACTGCGCTTAATATCATAATCAATGTTAACAATACCGGTGTACAACGGACTGTTACAAAAGAGGTCTAGATTAATTATTAAAATCAGATCAAAGTTAGATTAAATAATTAACCAATAGAATTGTATTAGGTCAAAATATGATTAAATGGACCAATTAGAGTATTGTTTGAAAAGACTTTAAAAGATGAACCAATGAGAACATGATTTGACTAGCAGTCCAATGTAATTCAAATATTTGGTCTTGGAAGAATAGCTATTTAACCAATAAGAGCCATAGTTGAAAAGTCTAAAGAAAATGGACCAATGAATGTGAAGGTTGAAAAGTTAAAGAATTAATTAAGTCAAATACAATTCACTTGGGCATTTGCCATCAACAAAATTCGGTTGCTTCTTTACCATCATCTTACGCCACTTTCTTTATTTGCATGACAACAAGTAGTAAAATAATTTGTGTTGGCAAGTCAAAGAGGAATAACAAATAAACCAATGAGGGGTTACTTTGAAAAGTCTAAGATTGTAGGCAAGCAAAGAAAAACATTCAACTAGGTTACTTTATGATATTTACACTAAGTAGGTTGGTTAAATTCCTTTTGTTTTCTCCTTGTATGCAGCCGAAGATTCTAGTTAAAGGGAAAGAAATGAGTGGACCAATAAGATATAAGTATAAGTTGACAAATTGAAAGACTTGAAAGACAAGTTATTAAGTAAATTAAGTCAATGAACTTACTGTATTTTTAACTACAAGGTCGGCTATGTCTCCTCTTATATGTGTTCCATAATTTCTTTCTTTTCTTCTTTTTCTCTTGAGGCCGTGAACTTGCAAAGAAGAAAGACAAGCTTGGAGATTTTATTTTAAACACTTTAGGGGTTGGGTTTCTTCATGAGATTTCAAGAATGAAGTCTTGTGAATAAGCCTTAGGTCTTAGTTCCTTAAGAGGAGTTTTATATTGAGAGATATCTACCTTTATGTGTGAGACTTCATGGCTGTCTAAGAAGCTTTCAGGGATGGTTTTGAGGTTTACATGTTGGAGAATACTTTCTAGCTTCTAAAGAACCTAAGTAAGGTAATATATCTTGATTTTGATGGTTGGAAAGGATATATGAAGTTGTTCATGAATGATTAGGGTTATGTGTAAACATGATCCTATGATGTTATTTTAAGTGGTTTCACTACAAGAAAACCGTAATCCAGTGAATAACACGACCCCTAAGTTATTTAATTTTCCCCACCTCTTGAGAGGCTATGTATCTATCCTATTGGCATATCCTATTTATTTATTTTTTCGTCTTTTCCGCAAAAAACACATTTCGTAGTCTCCCAGTGTTCATTTCATTTCTATTTTCTCACTAAGCTCATATTTATGAGGACGGAACCTTTATTGGCATCTATTCATGTTTGAGTAGAACATTTTCAAACCCTAACTCTCTTCTATTGATATTGCGCGCTTCTGCTGTCTCCATCATGGGTATTTTCTTTCTTCATCTTCTTCTCTAGGTTTTGGATTGGTTTTCAAATTTTTTGGATTCAATCTTGGTTATTGTGTTTACTTTTTCGCTCCATTTTGAAAGATTCTCGAATTTGAAGAGTAACAAGGTTAGAATGTAATCGGCATTTTGAAACTACTACTTTCCGCTTCATGTGAATTGGCATTTTTCGGTGATGTACTTGATTTCCTAGTCTTCTTTATAATTCCTTTTTTGTTTGCTGAATTTGAAATGTGTGAAAATTTAGGAAAATCTCTCTGCACCTTCAAGTGATCTTCTGGAAAAATTTCGGAATTGAAAATCCACCACCTATACTATATACCATTTCAGGTAAATTTCTTATCCTTTATTTCTCTTGCAATTTAGGTGTTCGATGAAATGTCCTAATGTGGTACATTTACATGTAAAGTTTCCTTCTTATCTGTTACATATCTATACTTGTATAGGAAAAGACTTCATTGATAAGGTGATTCTACCATTTAGTGAAAATCATTGTTTGTGTAATTTTAATGTTTTCATGGTATGATAATTGGTACTGATAAAAAATGTTGATTTCTTTGGCTGGCAGTTTGCCATGCCTATTGTGGTTGAGGTGCATGAGGGATACATGTATACCAGAGGAGAAGATGCTCAAAGATTCAAGGAGACTCTATGCACCCGGTCACCTTTACCACATTGTTGAGAGAGAGCCTTTTAGGTATGGTTAAGGAAACAAAATAGAGCTTATATGCCTTGTGCTTAATTCTAACTGTATTTTAAGAAGTCATGCCGTTTAGACTCAATTACATAGGTTTTGATTGTTTGGCTGGCATATGTATTCTTTTGTTTCTTCCTTGATAAAATATGTTAACATGATCATCTTAAGAATATGTTTATACAGCCTTTTGTTTTGTCCTTACCAGAAGTTCTGAACATCTTTTATATGCAAAATATGAAGGTTTCCCCAGTTGTGAGGACACTCAATGCACCGGGTTCGACTTCTTGGAATAAAGGTGTCGAGTTCGCTAAGATTTTGGATGATTCTGGAAACGTCATCATTTTGGGGAACGTCGTCTTGCTCCGGCCAGAGCAGGTATTAAGCTCAGTTCCATTAATGAATATAGTAAAATTTATTTTTTTTTTCTTTTGGATATTATGATAATTAATGAGATGATCAGGTATAGTATACAGAATTATTTAAAAAAAGTTTAATATTTTTATTTAATAAAGTTTAATTGTTTTTTAAAAAATAAATGTCAGATAATCTTTTGTGTAAATTTGGAGTTTAGAGTTTAGACCGTTGGGTGGGACAAGTTGAATACCAAGGCAACTAATATGATTAAGTGGGGTAAATAATGACCACTTAATGTCACATACTTTAAGGAGTATGACATGAGTCTTGTTTTCAATTTTAGTAGTATTTGATTCTCACTCACTGTTTGCTATTTGATTGTCCCATGGGATTATTAACAGTACCCTTTTTGGAAAATGTTAATAAATTTCAAAACCCATTTTGCCATCCAGTAGCAACAACCGTCTTTTTGATTGGTACCGCAGTGGCTCTTGTGTTGATTGTTTTCTAATTTTAAATTTTCCTCTTCCGCGTGTAAAAAAGGAATAAATAAATCAATCAAATTCCGGGAGGCTTCATAAAGTGCTTCCTTCGGAGTTAAACTTCCATTTGTCCATATTTCGAGAAAGAGTATCTCTTGTTTTTCATTCCCATTCACATAAGAATGAATACTATGATTTGCATTTCGAACAGGCATGAATACAGCATCTATAGTATAACTTCCGTCTTGAAAGTTTTTGAGTGTTTTTATACGATATCCGCGATTCCTATCAATTTTTAATCCAATATACAAATGGATTGGTTCTGTTACGTTAGCTATATGTTGTGTATTATCAACGAGTTCTACAGAAGGTGGTAAAATGATGTCTTGAGCAGTTACATACCCAGGACCCTTGAAACAAATAGACGCGTCCCGAGTTCCATACAGATGACTTTTCAATACAATTTCTTTCAAATTCATTAAAATGTCATGTACTGATTCTTGAATACCCGCTATGGTAGAATATTCATGTGGTATCTTATCAGATTTTGCACTTGTGATACACGTTCCCTCTATTTCTCCGAGCAAAACTCTTCGCATCGCAATGCCTATTGTATCGGCTTGGCCTTTCATAAGTGGAGACAGAATAAAACGTCCATAATAAAGACGCTTACTGTCTACTCTTGATTCAACACACTTCCACTGTAGTTTTTGTTTTCTCTTGAATTTTAAATCTCTTCGATGTTTATTTTTAGTTTTACACACGTCTTTTTTTTGGAGATCTACATCCATTATGTGGCATAGGGGTTACATCCCTTATACAATTTAAGACTATACCACTTCTACGAATAGCTCTTAATGCCGCATCTCTTCCGAGACCGGGACCTTTTATCATGACTTCTGCTCGTTGCATGCCTTGATCCGCTACCATTCTAATAGCATTTCCTGCTGCGATTTGAGCTGCAAATGGCGTTCCCCTCCGTGTACCTTTGAATCCACAAGTACCGGCGGAAGACCAAGAAATCACCTGACCCCGAACATCTGTAACAGTCACAATGGTATTGTTGAAACTAGCTTGAACATGAATAACTCCCTTTGGTATTTTACGAGCATGCTTACGCGAACCAATACGTCCATTTTTACGCGAACCAATTTTTGGTATAGGTTTAGCCATATTTTTTATGATTTCATATTGAAATTTATACTATTTTTTTCTTTTATCTAAATTTATTTTATCTGTGCATCTGGTTAAAAAAAAAAAGTCCTCTTTTTGTGGAAATATTATCCTTGTCTTTGTTTATGTCTCGGATTTGAACAAATTACTATAACGTGTCCCCGCCTGCGTATCAATCGACATTTTTCACAAATTTTACGAGCAGAGGCCCTTATTTTCATATTTATCATTCGCTCCTATAATTCGAATACACATCAATTCACGGGCTCCACTATTATCCGCTACATTCAAACGGGTTTGAGGTTGAATCATATAATTTTTTGTTATATGCTGCTATTGAAATAGCTTTTCTAGCTATATTTTCTGCGACCCCGCCCATTTCATAAAGTATTTTGCCGGGTTTCACGACAGCTACCCAATATTCGGGGGATCCCTTTCCCGAACCCATACGGGTTTCGGTAGGTCTTACCGTAACAGGTTTATCTGGAAATACGCGTACCCATATTTGTCCACCCCGGCGAACATTTCGTGACATTGCTCGTCGTCCCGCTTCTATTTGCCTCGATGTTATCCAAGCGGGCTCAAGTGATTGAAGAGCATATCTTCCGAAGCAAATAAGATTACCTCGATAGGATATTCCCTTCATTCTTCCTCTATGTTGTTTACGTTGTTTCTCAATACCATCTCTATTACAAAACCGTACATGAGATTTTCACCTCATACGGCTCCTCGCAAATATAAAGAAGCTATTCAATATATATATGTTTTAAATATATATATATATGCTTTAACCGGTAAAATCCTATACAACAAGATACATATCTTTAATTAATAATAGAATCACAGGATTTTTTGATATTTGATAATAAAATCTATTGGTCTATTAGAAGTTTTGATATATAATTTCGTATCTATTCTTATAGACAATTTTTGTTATCCGTATGGAACTGAATAATGTTGTTATCTTATAAGGTTATAACAAATCTTTTTTTTATTATCATATCGGATTGGCAAAAATTGTTAAACAAATCTAAATTTTTGCGGGCGAATCTTTACTCTTTCATTATCAATTTAAGATGTAATGTAGGGTTAGTCCACAACCTTTCAAACAAAGGATTGTTTCTTGGTTCGTTCCGCTATCCCATCTAATGAATCATTAAGATTTGTTTGAAAAAACATCCTAGGCATTCATAGTTTTCGTCGTTCCCACAGCTTCTCAATTAATGGTTAGGTCTTAATTCTAGAATGGAGTCTCTATTTAAATTTAAAAGTTTTTATTTCAATAAGATTTGAATTTTTCTGGAATCAACCTTCTCAGTTTTTATATTGACCCGGGACTCTTGATTTATTTGTTCTAGGGAAAAATTCATCTATATTATAGATGAATTCATATTTCATTTATATTGATGCTTTATTACACTACCTTTTTTGCGTAGACCTTTACATATTCGTATTTTATATCATTGATATATCTCTCTTTCTTTCACCTCATCACCTTATTTATCCATATATTTTTATTGCTTTACAACCCAGAATCAGATTCGTTTTTTTCTTTTTTATGTTTATGAAAAATTTAAGTTGCTATAATTATATCCACTAATATATCAAATCTTTATTTATATTTTCTATTTTTACTAGTTCTTGAGATCCGGATAAAGAAAAGCGATGAGTTGGTTATTAGTTCTTTATTCATTAAATTCATATTATAGATTAGTTTTTTTGAATTTAAAGCAATCAAAAAAAAACCAACGAGTCGCACACTAAGCATAGCAATTCTATCAATATCCAATGATTTATTGAATTTTTTTATTCAATCTTATAAAATTTCTCATTTTTTTTTGTTTTATCAAAAAACACGGAACATTAAAGAGAAGGAAAAGTTAATTACCCTTTGTTTAGAAATATCCAAACTTTGATTCCTAATACCCCATAAATAGTCCGAACTGTATAGGAACAATAATCAATTTTAGCTCGAATGGTTTGTAGAGGAACCTGACCTTCTCTGATCCATTCGACACGTGCAATTTCTTTTCCGTCGATACGTCCCGCTATTTGTATTTGCACTCCTTTTGTACCTGCCTGTTCAGTTAATTCAATAGCTTTTTTCATTGCTTTACGAAACGAAACTCTATTCTTTAATTGTCCGGCTATAAATTCTGCAATAATATTAGGGTGTCTATAAGCGTTTGCAATTTTTGTAATAACAATGTTGATTTTTCGGTTCACACAATTTACTTTTTCTTGTACATTCATTTGTAATTCTTCGATTCTTCTAGGCTTACCCTCAACTAATAACTTTGGAAATCCCATATAGATTGTGACTTGAATCAGATCAATTCTTTTTTGAATCTTTATCCGTGCAATTCCCTCGACGCCGGAAGAAATTCTTGTATTTTTTTCTATAAAATTCGTGATACAATCTCGTATTTTTTTATCTTCTTGTAGATTCTCCGAATAATTGATTGGTTGGGCAAACCAAATAGAATCATGATTTTGAGTTGTACCAAGTCTAAAACCAAGCGGATTTACTTTTTGTCCCATAATTCCCCACTACTATACATAAAATGATGTGTCATATTTGTATACTTTTTTTTTATTCATACGATTTTTTTTTTCTTAAGTAATTCAGTATATTTATAAAGTAGTAAGGATAATAAGGCGTGCCTTTCTTATTTATATATAAATTATAAATAGATCTTTATGACTCATTGACTTAGTTTGTTGAAATCTATATTGTGACTAATATTTCTATTTCCTGCTGTATAAAAAAAAATAGAAGAAGATATTAAAATCACTAAAGCATAAGTTTGAGTATCCTAACTCCTTATCAAAAAAAATTATCAATTACTATTCGTACTTTGTGTTGTGAACAGACACGAATATATATATTGACCAAAAAGTTATATTTTTCTATCTAAATTCGCGTTAAAATTAACGTTAACGACGCGATCTATTATCATTTTTTGAATGTCCTCGGAAGTTGAGAGTAGGTGAAAATTCTCCCAATTTATGGCCCACCATACGATCTGTTATATATATGGGTAAATGTTCTTTTCCATTATGGATAGCAATGGTATGTCCAATCTGCTTTTTTATTAAGCTTATTTATTTTTATTAATAAGTGATTCGCTACAAAAGGATTTTTTGTTAGTGAACGTGTCACAGTTAATTACTCCCTTTTTTTGTAAAGACGAAGAAACAAATTCGATTTTATCTACTCTACTATTTACTTTACTACGGCGACGAAGAATCAAATTATCACCTGCACCCACAAACATAAGCCAAAACAAAAAAAACATAAAATCATTCATATTCACTAGCAATTCAAAAATCAACAACTAAGAGCCGAATCCAGCTTCTATAATGTCTCAAAATTCAGGATTTTCATTATTTATGTCATGATTTTCTTAGATCCATAGACTTATTGTCGATTTGGGTACCTTTTAATCCTTTTGTTTACTCTGAACATCTTCGGATCTATGCTGTCTTTACCAAAATTAAATTTGTTTTGGATTCCAAGGCATTTGTTCTTTCTTTACATATATATTCTTCCAAAATCATTTTTTTTCCCTCATTTTTTTTTGGTAATGATTTATTTTTAGTTGGGTTTAATGGATTTACATTTCAGTTTATGAAAGATGTTAAGTTTTTTTTTTCTTACTTTTCTTCTCTATTCATTTTACAGTACTGGAATTCATGGATCTTCCATTATCATCATCAACATCCATAAGGGGTATGCAATTGATCTTGCTTTTAAAATTTGTCCTTACTTCTCCCCTCCACACCTTTAAATGCCAATTATAACAAAGTTATTATTAAATGAATGCAGTTTCCTTGGGGAAAATAGAGTACCAAATTAGTGACAAGGGAAACTTTTCCTTGTAAGTTTAACTTAGAACTCTACCGTGTTTATATGATATGATGTTACGACCATTTCTATGTTATAATATGTTTGTTCTGTTGTCTTGTTCAACCCATTAACTAGCCTCCGTGATGATTTGATTTTTAAAATTCAGGATATTGAGGGGAATGAAATATCACGTGCAGGTTAATTTCTATACACATCCCAATTCAAAAACTGGCCTTTATTATAATCAACCAAAGACTAAACCTGTCTAACAAGTAGTAGTAAATAATTAGCAGGTGTTCATATCAGGTTGATATTAGAGAAAGGAGTTTGGGACTTGCATTTGGAGTTAAGATTCATCCTTAATGATGAAGAGCGTGACAACATTCGTATAATGGTACTTATTTCTTTCATTATGTACAATTTGTATTGTACTTGTGCTTATGAACTTTCTTAAACATTTCATATTTAAGGCCTCAGTCAATTATTGTCTTCATTGCTTTATTATTTATATAAGACGGTTAACTCCTTTCTTTAGCTGTACAAGTACAATAGTTGGGCAAAATTTAATTTGTTCCCTTTGGATTTATATTAGTCTATTCAATTTTTTGTTTCAGATAGATATTGATGAGGATATTTGGTGGAAGGCCAATGTTATAGAGACAAGGGAAGAACCATTATTAGTCTTAGTGGTTAGTGTTTCTCTCTCTATTTAATTTATGCATTTTATGAATGAGATTAGGTTGCAGTTTATGCATTCTATTCAATTTAATTCATGTATAATGACAATAGGTTGCAATTAGTTTCTCTAGCTTGCTTACACCAGCTCACGATAATTTATTATTATTATTATTAGTATTGCTTGATTATTTAAAATAAAAAATTACTGTTGTGCAGCTGTTGCATTTCAAATTGCTGTTGTATTTCAAATTTGAATATTTAGTTTGTTAGATGTTCAAGTAGTCTGTTTTATTATTCATTTAAATTTGTATCCTTAGCTTACGGTTTGTTAAGTTGTTCCATTAAATTAGTTTAGATTGGTTCTCGTTTGTTATTCGTATCTTTTTGTATTATGGCTATATTTAAAGCCCATCAGATTATTAATGAAAGACAAGCTGTTATATTCGAAGCAGTTTCTGCTAAGATTCAGTGTCTTATTTTTTTTTTTCAAAAAAAAAAAGTATACTTGTAGTATGAATCATTTTCATGACTTGATGATTATTAATGGGCCGAAGCTCTTTTTTTTTCCCTTGATGTACTCTTTGTTCATCCTTATGAGAATTTCTTGCATGGTGAATGCCGTAGATTTATAGAATTTTTAAGGATGAAGCCAATGAAGAAAAAGGAGAGCGAGCCAGAATGGTGAGCTTGTTATAATTTTGTGTTTTGTCACTTGTTAAAATAAATATATTCACTTCTGATCTGTATTAGCAACTATTCCATGCGTTATCCTTTTTATATGACTATGGGGAAAGTTGCTTGACTTTAACTACATGTGTTGTATGTTTTGTCTTCCTTATTATTTCATTACTTTTGTCTTGCTCTAACTAATTATTCGACAACAGATTTGCTCTAACATCCAATCTCAAAGACACAAACAATGTCCAATTAGTGTCTACAAACTGGCTTTCGAGAACCAAGATATCAATGTCCGAGAAATAAAGCCCAAGAACAGGAGAATCATGGTAATCCAAGCGCTCTTTTTTCTTCTTTTTTTTTCCATTTCTCCCACTAGTAGTTTCATTAAGCCAAAGAGATATCTCTGAATTTAATGCTGAGATTTGAAAAAAAAATTATATTTTTTCAATTTTTCCTAAGCTACCGACAAAGTTAGTTACGTGAAGAATCATTTATTCAACCTGCTCAATGAATCCTTTTGACAATGAAGCTGTCGTTGCAGAGGTAATCATACCGTTAATTCTTTTTCTGATATTGGAGAGCTTATTTGTCTTAATGGCTTATAGTTCTATATTTTTCTTTTTTATTTTGTTATTTTCTAAAGTTTTGTAATTATTCCTTTATTTTGGGGGAAATTTTAAATACAAAGTTGGTTTCAGACTAGGTTCCAAGACTTACTGTGAGACCTTGAATGTAAGGAAGGTGAGACTTCTTGCATGCCTGCCTTGAGGTTCTAGGCATAGTTGGTACTTATGCTATCTTCAAGCATTAAAATGGTCAACATGAGATTCTTCTGTTATACTTCCTGTGTCTAACGTTGTTGCTTAAGTGTGTGGTAGGAATTTCACCAAAGATGGCATTGATGATCGATTGAAAGTGTGGGATGAGAAATACCAACCTTGGGTGCATGTCCCTGCATTTGCTCCATGTTATTCTCCTCAAGCTGAAGTAAATTCACTTGCGTGTATGACTGTATACTCAACATTTTCAGTTTCATATATAGAATTTTCAGTTAGGCTTAATATGTAAGATTACTCAGGTTTAAACATTTGTAATATTACTGATACTTTAATTACAATGTTAAATTTGCAAAGCACATTTACATTGCTTTATCATGTATTTGGATCAATTAATTTTTAATGATGAGAAATTTTTAATTTATTATCATTATTTATATTTATTTTGAATTACATTTAATTTTGTATAAATTTAATGATAATAAATTCAGAGGTTTAAATGTTTGGTCAATTAATAATATGTTTTTTTTATAATGATATAAATAATTATAAAATAAAAGGTGAGGGAGTGAATATTCTAAAAAAAAAAAGTAGTAGTAGCAAAAACAAAAAGCAGCAGCAAATACCAAAAACAGAAGCAGATATTAAAAAAAACAGCATTAAAGAATCGCGGCGGTTCAAAACCGCCGCTAAAAATATTACAATTTTATTTAATTATTTTTTTTAACGTCGGTTTTGCAAATATAACGTCGATTTAGTTTTTAGCGTCGGTTATTCCGTCGGTTGTGAGAAACCGACTTGGAAATATTTAACGTTGCCAATTTCTACATCAGTTTTAAAAGGGCCACAGAATTTTTTTGCGACGGTTCAAACCGCCGCTAAGATTAAAAAACGCTAAAACACGTTTTTGCTGTAGTGTTTAATATTTTTTGGTGGTTGCTTATGAGTTTTAAGTAAAACTATGTATGAAGATGTTTAAAATGAAACAAGGGTGTTGGTTAATAAACCAAGAATAAATCGGCCAAGTAAGGGTAAAGTCATGCACATAATGTATTTAATGAAATAAGAAATTAGGGTTTAAAGTGAATTAATGATGATTGTTTAAAAGGAACAAGATTGAGTTGATTAGAAAGTGTACAAACCCAAATAAAGGCAAAACTGACCTATGTTTGTAAAATTCATAACTGGAGTTGTGGAACTTCAAACTGAGTGGGGTTTGTATCAAATTAAATATATACAAGTCTAGTATAATATATCAAAAATTCAGAGTAATCTGACCTAAATTGGAATTTTCGTGAATAAAGTGGTGAAGGATGTTCAGGTTGTTAAGAATTATGCTTACTTTTCAGCCCAAATTGGAAAACGCATATCTCATTCATTTCTTAACGAAATGGAGAGTGTGAGATAACAAATTAAACCTTAAGGTGTCTATTTTCTTGTTTCAAAAGATGGGATTTTTCTTAGTGCTAGATTGTCCCCAGAATTAATAAGAGTAAATAGTACCCGAAGTTGTCCTGTTGACAACACACTCTATGGAGTTTGTAAAATTCATAACTCATTCGTTTTTTAACAAAACGGGATGAATATTATGTCAAAATAAATCCCAAGATATCTAGTATTATATATAAAAATTTGAGAATAAACTGGGTGGGGAAACGTTCCCAAAAAATTAAAGTGTCCAATGTCCTATTTTACTAACGACGAGTTTAAGCAATTTCCTTATGGCGAAAATATCCTGAGTTGTACTTGTCAGAAGAAGGCGTATAATATGTTGTTGGAAGCTTAAGACATTTAGATTAAGATGATAAAAAATTATAATTTTTGGTGGAAGGTTTTAGGGACAACAACCAAATTGCCACTCTTGACACAAAATATTACCAGAATGCCACACTTCTGAAAATTTTTACCTACACGTGGCTATTTAGCATAACACACGTGGTAGCAAGTCCTTGGCCACGTAAGCTGTAACACCCCGTATATATCCGGTAATGTTATCATATCATCGTATTAAGCTGCGCTTAATTAAAATGCGGAATATCTTTTTCTTTTCAATTATGACGTCATTATCGTTACCAACTTGATTACTTAATCATTTCAAAAACATCGCCTGTATGTAAATTGTAATTAAACAGCTAACCTTAAATACCTCATTAAATTAATAACATCAATAAGTCTCTAGTTACGGAACTACAACATGTAGACCGGACAAACCCTGATAGTTTATACAACTCAAACTAAAAGTACTAACATCAAAGCGGCATGGACAAACCCCTTGCTCACCCAAATAAGGCACAAGCCCAACAGAAGTCTCAACTCAAATATCATACTAAAGGCAGAAAACATAAACAACATCCAAATCCAGTCATGTCAGCATACAACATAATATAATCACCTAAGCTCCGACCTCTTGCCGCCAGAGGCATCAGCCCCCAAATTACCTGAACCTGAAATAAGCGTCCCCAAACGTGGGATGAGATCTCTAAACCAGAAATCTCAGTAAGACAAGGGGTCCTCACAGATCTTCCACCCCAAGCTCGCTTACATGTGCAATATAAGTTCAAAAGCAGTTTATCAACATCATTTCTAAAATAGTGAAAAATGGCAGATAATCATGTCATGTGTGTCAATGCTATAATCTACTGGCCAGAGAAATGCAGGAATACGTCTATTATCCACACAGTACGCGCCCTGTCGTACCTACCCTTAGGATCACATCCCATCGGGTGAACACCGCATATATATCATAAGCATTTTCACTCAACAGCTCAAAAGTATTTCAAATATCAAAGGATGTAACACAACATGCATATAACCATACCCCCATGGGACATGGTGGAACCAACAATGACTAAACCGAGGACACGAAAGCTTACCTCTTAAGCTAACTATCCAATCCAAGAGTCCACACAAGCACAAAGTCCAAACACAGCAGAATCACAATCTGTTATGGACCAATTAACATATCAATATTCAACTCTATAATCACACAATATAAAGACAACGCATTTCCTTTACGTTTCATGTCTTTAGGCTTCCAACAAAGCCACAAGCCCTTAATCAATTAGATTCTGACTTAGATTAATTGTTACAGAAGTTCAACTTCATCAAACTAGGGTCCACAAACCCATAACTCAATTCTGTATGAACAGTAATCTACTGTTCTTCGAAAACCCAGAATATCTGGATATTTGTCGGGGGCATATCCGGATATCAATATCCGGATATTCAGATCCCCATATCCGGATATAAATATCCGGATATCCATATCTGGATATGTCGCGATAGAATGCAGTTCTGCATTTCGCGAGATATCCTTCCCAAAGGTGGTTCATTTCATGCATATAGAAGCTCAAACATGCGATTTAAGGTGTGTTTAACATTACCCAACCTTAGGTTATCAACTTTAGCTCATTACATGCATCAAGTTTCCATTTTTAACAGAGAAAATTCAAGCATAAGGGTGATGATCATACCACAAGCTCAAAACAGAGCAAGAATATGCTCTTGGAGCTCTCACTTCAGCTCTAAAGTTCTGACTTCGAAGAGAAACGAAAATGGCACACAAGGTGGTTCCTTTTTTCACAAAGGTAGCTTCTTGGAGCACCAAGCACCAAGAATATGACACCACAACTCCAAAACCAGAAACTCAGCCCCTCACACCTCGCAAGGCAGAAGCAAAAACTCAGAAACAATATCCTCTCACTCTCACAAGGTAGCTCACACCAAGATATATTGATCAAGAGAAGAAACCATGATCAAATGTGGTGTCTTTGGTGATAAAATGGAGAAGGAATGGAATGGCAAGGTGGATGGTCACCAAGCTTCAGCAAAACTCACATAGGAGGTAACAATTCTGACCTAGGATCATGTGTCATGGCCTTATATAGGCCACTTAAATTTTAATCGCACTGTATTAGCGCTAAATGTTACGCTTAGCATTTTAATCCCAAACTTAGGATTCTGAACCTACTCAATTTTACAAGATTTATCATATTTTTATTATATTTTTCGCAGCACCTTTTCGGCACGTGCTTTTCCATAGACAGTATCAGTTATAACACCAGTTCTCATTATTTGAACTTGACACTTGAAATCACAGTCCTACATATTATTCCAGGAATATTCATGCACTTATTATAATTTTCCAGGATACTTCATCGGTACGCATTTATACCGAGTAGCAGAACCGGTATCTGCATTTTTTGTCAGAAAAGCGATTTTCAGCATTATAACTCACTTACTACAATTATTTAAGCCTCAATAATTATTAGGGTCAATTATGGAATTATTTCATAATTTCACATAATTAATTAATTAACTTCCTTAATTAACGGTGCGGGTTCTTACATTCACCCCACCTTTTTAGGATTTTGTCCTCAAAATCAGAATATACCTGTCTCGAAAATCAGGATACTGCCGGAGAAACTCGTCCTCTCGCTCCCAGGTACACTTCTCAGGAGTTCTTCCTGACCATTGCACTTTGACCATCGGAATGATCTTGCTCCTCAGTTGCTTCTCTCCACGATCGAGAATCTTGAGTGGTCCGACGGGAGTTTTCAAGTTCTCCCGAACCTCCACATCATCCGGTTGCACCACGTGCGAAGGATCCGCTACATACTTGCGAAGCTGAGACACGTGAAACACGTCGTGGATGTTGGCCAAGTTCGGAGGCAAGGCAAGCCGGTATGCAACAGATCCTACTCTACCAAGGATATGGTATGGCCCAATAAACCGCGACAAAGATCCTACTCTACCCTGGTGCGACAAAGCTGTATCAAGACTTGAAGAGAAATTCCCGGTGGCCAGGAATGAAGAAGGACATTGTAACATCCCACGTAAAATTAAAAAATATATATAGCTATATATGTGAAACTAGGAAGAATATAGATGCCTATGTGAGATTCGAATTTTATGAGGATACATGTATGATTTTCGCACTACATAGCTATTTTCCATTAAGGGAAATTAAATTGGTTAGGAAGTTGGTTGAATTGCAATGTTGTAAGTACTTTAGGCATATGAAACTTTAATTATTAAAGTAGGGGAATGTATTAACTGTAGTATATCAAAGAAAAGAAAACATGATATTAAATAAGATCTATGTGAACCGAAAATGTTATTGGATTAGTGTCTAAGTAGTATTTTGGGTTGTACATTTTGGTCCTAGCATTGTGTTGGCCGAAGCCTTAGGACCTTAGAAAGAACTCTAGGTGCAGCCCAAGTCCATTGTCTATTATCCCTACAAATATCCTAAGTAATTCCCACTAATCAGCCTTTGTTTGGTAGTGTTCACACTTGGCAAAAATTACACCCTTATCTTCCTACACATGTGCGCATAAGTTGGTCACAAATTCTGATGTTTAAATTGAGATTTTAATCTCACAAGTCAGCCCTAAA